TCAGACAGAGACAATTTATTCAGCTAGTTTATCCAACTGAACATATTTCTATAACAGAAAAATGAATAAATAGAAGTTCCTTAACATATTGCTTGTATAGACAGAGACCATGTTGTAAAGCTCTGTTTAGCTCTCCCTCTCAAAAGAGGATTATTGGTTTCCTGCCTTTAACTCAATCTTAAACAATTTGACCTTTCTGAGGACTTTTTGGAAAGTTTTAAGGAAAAAAAAAAAAACAAAGCTCATACAACCTCACAACCTCAAGGAATTCTAAGTATTAAAGTTCACCTCTATGAAGGTAATTGGTTCAGAAATTGAGCATTATTTGCTATACTTCAGTGCATAATATAGGTCATTATTCATGTATCTAACTCTGGGATAGCTTGAGTTTGCTTGCCCAGATAGTAATTATGACAGGGGAGGAACATTATCCAGGAGTGACTCTTTAGAGGGACGAGGAGCCTGGACCTGACCTGTGGGGAAGCTGTTCTCATCTTCTAGTCTTCCTACAAGATGGCTTTGGTGTCTGTTGAGAACTTTTTCCCACCTTGAAAATCCTAGGTGGGACTTTGGCCTGATTCCGTCAAGGACTCTGGAAACTACTTAGCTTGGAGTGCTGCCATTTGAGTCTGTTCTTGGCAATGGGCCTTGGCTTTTTTCCTGTGAGGCCCTGTGCCTCTTAGGAGCAGAGAGGAGGTCAGATGCAGATAACACAGGCATGATGTCTGTCTCCTGAAATGCTCAGCTGATGTGCATTTCTCCCTTCCCCTAAGGGTTTAAGGAAGAACACATTCATCATGGAGTGTAATGAGTAGGAAAGAACATGTGGCTTTTTTTTTTTTCTGCTACTGGAAGCAGGAGAGTAGGATAAAAATCTTTCTGTTTACAAGTCAGCTGTATCTCTTTGTAATTTGTGTTCAAGTAATTTGAAGCTTTGCTGCTAAGCCAAACTTCTGAACAGTTTCATTTGCAAACGCCTTCTTGGAGGGCCAAGGGAAGCTTTTGTCAGGATTTGAGGTCTGAGATGAGAATTGTGAGTTAAGCCAAGGTGGTGGTGGTGGTTGGGGGGGGGGGGCGTGTGTGTGTGTGTATGTGTTGCATGCAAAGCATGTGCATGTATGCATGTGCTTAGTTGGGCAGGGACAAGGAGGGTTGAAGAAAAGAGGAAGGGTCTTTCCCAGCAAAGGAAACACCACATATGAAGGTTGGATGACAGGTAATGAGTCCTTTCGAAGGTTTTATAAGAGCTGTGACCAGGCCTGTTTGCTGAGAACAGGGCAAGTCCTCGAGCGCCCATCATACCTCTTCAGCCTCTCTTAACGAGCGTTCAGATGCTCTGCCAGAGGAAATGGTGTGTTCCAAGTGCAGCTGGGATGGAAATGGAGTCTGTTTAGTGCAGCTGAAGGAGTCCTCCACACAGACTGCCCCCTTCAAACAGTAAACGTCTGTTTAAAAGGAAGCAAAACAAGGCTGGTGGGAGTTGGAAGGAGCAGGAGTTTATGTCAGAAAATGAAAATGAGTTGCTGTGGAAAGCCTGTCTTGGTGATGGTTTCAGAGATATTAAAAGAACTCAGTTGCTAGTTTGTTATATTTCTGTGTATGTTTTTGTGGACTTTTAATTCTCCAGGAGACATGGAGGATACAAAAGCAGTCCTATTTCTCTTAGGGAACATGCTGCTATTGTTGGAGATGATTGCCTTGCAGCTCACAAGCCATGGCATCTTCTACTACTTATGTTCACCAGGGAGCTAGGTAGACTTACGATGTCTTCCCAGCTCTTCGTTCCCCTTCCTTTTGGCAAGACAGGCTTTGAACATGATCAGAGCGTGATTAAGGCTCTGTTAACAGCAGGGGGAGGTTCTGACTTGGAAGTCTAGGAAGTGAAATTTTGATTGTGCTTCCAGCTGACAGTAGCTACTAAGCAAAGGGTAGGAGGTTGTACTATAGTTGTAGGTGACACTGCCTTTACCTTTCTGTCAAGCTCAGTCGTGAGCCTTGAGCTGTGTTAACTGCTTTACAAACACGGGCCCATTTTAAGGAAGTTTGATGAGTCTCAGTGTACAGATGGGGAACTTGAGGTTGAGAGAGAGAACGAGTTTGCAGTTGCACCCAGCATGTGTCGTGGCCAGCATCGGACCTGAGGTCCCTCTGTCTCTGAAGCTCTTGTGGGCAAGCACTGCCTGTTGCATTGCACTCTCTCAACGTAGCCTCTTTGCCCTGCCTCCATCAGTTCTCGTCCTTCCCCTCTTTTAAGATGCTTTAAACAAACACAACCAGAAATCTGCCTCTGGAATTGATGCTCATCTCCTTCCTTATGTCCCGTTAGGCAATGCCTTATATTCATGCAAATATTACATAATTTGCGGGGATAAAATAAATAGCAATTTTATCTCATCTCCCCTGGACTCGCTAAAAGAATTTGTACTGTGTTATTAATTCTGTCTGTTCCGTGATCATGCTATGTGACCAGAAATGTGTAAGACCGTTGTAGCCTTACCAGTATTCTCAGGATGCACTTATGTGCAATAGCCTGAAGCTAGGCTCAGGAGCTAGGAAGACTCATAGGCCAGCTTAACCACAGTCCTTGTGAGACCATGGTGAAGTCACTGTACCTCTCTGGGCTTCACTCCTTTCATCACTGTGGTCTTTGATCCAGGTCACTTCCCAGTCTGGGAGGCACGGTCTTTATCAGGACACTAAATAGGTCACATGCAGCATGTCCTTGTGTGCCTATTATTTTTAGGTGTTTCTAGAAGGGATGGTTAGTAAAATAGAAATTCATTAAAAAACATTATTAAATTCTTACATTTTGTGCAGGCTGTGAATGTGATTGAGGGAGGCTGGGGACTTGCTCGGGAGAGGTCTCTACTTCAGAGGGAGATGCAGAGAAGTAAATGGGCAAAAAGAACATTGTATGAGAAGTGCTACGAAGGGTGGAAGAAGTTAAGTATGTGATAGATGCACGTGACCCAGACTCAGGGATGAGGGTAAGGAAAGCTTCTTGGAGGAAGTGATAGCTAAGTGCCAATCCAAAGGATCAGAGAATGTGAGTTAGGTGATGTAATAGGGGGATATAAAGGTGTTCTAGATGCTGGAAAGATGCAGGGAAGGGAGAGGGGCCAGTAAGAATTGAGCCATTGTTCTCAGAGAAATTAGTGGCCTTCAGGTATGAACTCCATTCATTCACTCTACCTCCGAAGTGATTTATATCCTCACTACCAACTCAAATTAGAATGCACTGAGATCCTTTATTGTCCGTGCGTGTGAGGGGATGAGTTTTGACACACTTGCTGTGAATCTCAGTACAGAGTTTTGCTTGTGCACCTGTGTACCTGCTCTGCTGAGATAGTATTAAGGGTGTTTGGGAGCCTGTGGAGGAAAAGACTTCTTCAAAAACATTATGGGAAGGTTTGTGATTATTGTGATGTAGGGGTAGAGTTTTTCAAGGGGGCTTTTCAGTGATAATCGCTCCTAGAATTGGGAAAGCTAAAATGAAGCTGCTGCTTAGCTTCATGGTGCATTGATAGCAGCTTCCAAAATGGAAGCATATTCCTTCTCCATCAAGACGTTCAGTAAATGACATGTAGGCCTCCGCAAAGGTTCTGCCCTCAAACAGCTTCACTAGGAAAGCATGATGGGCCTCGAAGGGGAAGGGTCTGTAGGGAGGAGGAAGGGTTGGAGCTTCTATGACACAAAGGTCGGGGAATGATGATGGTCCACACGTGCTCCTGGTCATTTGCAGATGTGAAAGGGAGCTAAACCCCGTGTAGACTTTGCTCCTCCTGATTGGCAGGAAAGGTTACTCGTTAGAACGGCATAGAGGCTTCATTGCCCCATTCATCCTTTGGAATAAAAGTGGGCATAGAGCAGCTGAGTGGTAAAATATTTCAGGCTTTCTTTCAAACCACTTTGAAAGGTGGAAGCTGATGATGAAAACTCACTCACCTGTTTCTCTCTGCAGGTGAGGATAGTATACGGCGCCCTATAGAATGTGCTTTTAAATCCAGGTGAATCTCAATTATTTAGTACTGAATAAATCTTTATTACTTGGGGGGTAGGGGTCTGGGAAGTAAGGACAAGAGATGTGCTGACATACTGTTAAATATTTTGGGGCTGGCGGTTTCCCACGTGCCTGACTGGCAGGGTGCTGTCTCTAGCACAGTGGTGCAGGGGGGCGTCATGCTCACACCTGCTGGAGCCACGCTCAGGGATTTCTCCCCTCATTCTCCATTTCTTCTCTTTCTTGCATCTTGTAAAATAGGTGCTGTGATTCTGTTTCATGTTTTTTTTTAATTTCTTGAAATCTTGAAAAGTTTAATGGGTTAATAGTAGTAAAACAAAAATAAAAACACTGTCTTTACGTTTCTGGAAAAAAAATGTATGTCTAAGTGTCAATCATTTTCCAGGCTGTTGGTTCCTGAGGCTGAATACCAGGAGCTGTTTTGGCAGCTAGTAGAAGTAAAAGGGAATAGCAAGAGAAAGCTGGCCCAGTTTCTCTTTCTCTGGCTACAAGAGGTCAAAAGATGTTGTTTCAGCTGGAGAATTTAAAATGGATTCTTACTCACTTTTTGCTAAAGAGACTGGACTGTTTCTAGTGTTGTAATCTTCTGTAGCCGTGGAGAAAGGTCACCTCCTGATCTTGTTTTGGGGACCATGGGGTTAAAACTGTGGCAGAGTCCTTTATCTGGACGCAGGCTCTTGTCAGAGTAATGTTTGGCCAGGTGTTAATCTGAGTCCTGAGGGGGAGTGCTGGAGTTCATTATTCATCCCCATGGGAGTAGGGGTGAGAGGAGGAGGCTGTCCTTCTGGGAGGGTCCGGGCCAGGGCCTGCCTCCTGCCTTTCCGGACATGTGCCATTTGTGAGGAAGGCAGCTGAAGCCTGTTTGAGGAATTCTGTTGTCAGCCAGCCAAGAGAGCAACACAGAGGGAGGGAGCCGGAGGGAGCGAAGAGGAGGGAGCGAAGAGCAGGCAGCTCAGCCAGGCAGTCCTGGAGGGCGGTTTCTGGCGGCTGCAGGATCACACACAGTGTCTTAGGCGCTAAGGGAAGGTGTACAGGAACTTAAAAGGGGAAGGAGGCCAGGTTTGAAATAGTGTATTTTCCTACTTCTCTCTCCTTTGCCCCTCCTGCCTTTGAATACATGGCATCGTTTGGAAAGCTCAGCATCTGAAAGAAGCCTTTGCCGGAAACACTGCTTTTTCTTCAGCGTTGTACTGTTTTGGTTTGTTTCGTTTTTCTTTTCCTTTTTATTTTTTCCATCATCTTTTCCTCTGAGGGCAGGAGGTGAGACAATGATCAAGTCAAGCTGGTTCTATGTCAAGTTCAAGTATGCAGAGAAGGTAAGTCAATATGTTTTCTTTTCCCAAGGGAAACCTGCCACCTCCCTCCAGCCTTCTCCTGTGGACAGGCTCCTCTGGCTACCAAGGGACTCAAATGAGCCCAGAAGTTGTGTTTGTGAATGTGTTTCCTCTGGCTTAATGATTCTTGGATGAAACACAGGCTCTGTACTGAAGGTCTGACGTTGCCATTGACCACGAGGAAAGAATCTTCAAACTGGTCCCAGAAGCATGATTCAGAATCTGAAGAAGGAAAATAATGAAACCGCGTTCATTGGAAAGACAGGCGACGCTGCTTTAGATAGAATAGTTTCCAAGAGGAGTATTTGTTACAAAACTTGATGTGTTTTCTGTTCTGAGACACATTGACAATCACTTCCCGTTACCTGTAGTTTGCTTAGTCTAGTTTTTATTTTTTTCTCTCAGTTAGCTGACTTGACTCATTCGTGAATGTAGAAAAAGAGCTTTGCAGTGTTTTGGGGTATAGGAAGAATCCCCATCATTTTGACAGACTGTTTATAAGACTGTCTCTCTACTGTCTGTTGTGGGGGTGGGATTACATTTTTAGGGAAGCTCTGAATTTCGGTTGCATCTGAAATTTTGATGTTACAGTTCTGTGTTTTAATATATCATTACTAGGCTGTGGGGGAAGAAGTATTTTCACTTACCTGGGGACGAGGACCATCTTTTTGGTTCTGGATCCTTACATGTCACTTACTCTGTTGGGAATTTATAGGGTTAGTAATGAGGTTTCCAGGGGCAACCTAAAATGCCTCCTTTTTGAAATCCTTTCTTCCTTGATTTGCGTGTTGACAGTATTGGGATACTGACTGTTGAGATAAGCTGAGACCCTAGAGAAGGTAGCCGTGATGTTGCAAGATGGAAATTGTGGTGACTGTTGCCCTACTTTTTATGATTATATGCATAAGCACGTTGAAAAATCCCTCTTCCATTCTTCTAGTTTAAAAAAGAAGTTAGTATACTTAGGGCTCATTTTCCCACATTGTTTTTTTTCCTATATGGATCTGTTTCCGCTGTGTTTTTAAGACAGCAAAATTACTTGTTCTTTACCCATGTATGTGTATGTGTATATAATCAAAATATATAGGATTTTTACTTAAAAAGATCCTCCATTTTATTTTTTATTTATTTATTTTATTATTTTTTTGAAAGTATGCTCCACGCCCAGCACGGAGTCCAGCATGGGACTTGAACTCATAACCCTGAGGTTCCCGACCTGAGCTGAGATCAAGAGTCAGACGCTTAACCGACTGAGCCACCCAGGCGCCCCACCCTCCATTTTAAACCATTTGCATTGTTAACTCTTAAAATTATTATAACCAAAATATTAGAGTCAGGAAAGGTAACATTTTGGTTTAGGATTTACTTTTTTTCTCTGTGGATTACTTTCCTTGGAACAGCCTGTTAACCATTGTTGGCTGTTATGAATTTTGATAAATTAAAACTGTGTTCTACCTCCTTAACCTTTTCCTTTTACCATGAATGTCCTGCCATAGAAATCTGAAACTCAGAGTTAAGGAATGAGAGTAAAGTAATGTTAAAAAGAGGAAAAACATTTCAAGGAATGATCTTCATAAAAAGGAAAAGGAGGGGGATGTTAAATTAATTGCCTCATCTGAATGACCATATTAGTATTCCTTTAGCAAAAGAACGAGGAGAGAATGCTTTCATGTACCAAAACATGTGTGTATCATAAAGCTTAATAATGTAAGGCTCCATAGCTAATTGAAGAATATCTTGCTTTTATTAGCGATGGGGGAGGAAGAGGAACAAAAATCTCAGTCTTGTTTTTGACATGCTTATGGTGCTCTAGATCTCTGCGATTCTCAGTGGAACTTTTGTTCTTTTATTCCTTCCCAATTATTTATTTTTTTAAACTTACATTGGAGGTTTGCTTTTCTTTTCCCCCTCCAAAACTCATCCAAATGAGTTTAGTTTCGTCTGGAGAGAGAAAAAGCTTTAGTGTAAACCAAGGGACAGGGATGCTTAAAAGACAAATTTTAAACCATTCTTTTCCACATTATTCCAAAAAGCGACTCTTTTTACAGGGCTGTTAATTTGAAATTTCCCCCAGTATTTTTTAAAGGGGGCAAAAAGAAATCCCTCTCTCTGTTTCCAAATGCTGGCCAAATGATTCGATATAAACTTGTATTTGTTGGAAAGATATTTCATCTGTGAAGTTTGTCCACAATTGTAAGAAAATACATTATGTGATATCTTTAATAGCCAGTCATTTCTTGTTTTACATTTAGGAAAAAATGATTTCATCAGTCTTAGTGATCAAGAAAAATTAAGAAATTCAAGTAATGCATTATCAAAATCATTGGCAACAGGAGAATATTACTTTTCCCGTGATCATCAGGATTGTGATCCTTTTCTAAAATTAAAAAAAAATATCTATATCTGTATATGTATATAGTATATATAGTATATAGTAAAATAAATTTCTTTTACCACAACCACATATACTTCTCTGTAGTATTTCCATTTAAATTATTAGTTAGCGCTCTCTTTCCTTCTTTTCTAAAGATTTTATTCATTCATTCATTCATTCATTCATTCATTCATTCATTCATTTAGAGCAGGCAGGGGGAGAGGCAGAAGGAGAGGGAGAGAGAGAATCCCAAGCAGACTCCATGCTGAGCTCAGAGCCCAATGTGGGACTCCATCTCACGACCCTCAGGTCATGACCTGAGCTGAAATCAAGAGTTGGTTTCTTAACCCACTGAGCCACCCAGGTGCCCTGAATTATCTCTTTCTTTAATTAGGTTGGTACCTAGCCTCATTCTTTTTTTTTTAATTGACTAGTTAGATATCTGTCCTGATGTTCAACAGATACCTCTAATGCAACATCTCTAAAATGCAGTTGATTTCTTCTTCCTCAATCAAATGTATTTGCATTTCCTACCATAGGTAAGACGTCACTATCCAGCTTGGTTATCTGTGTTCCCAAAGGACCTGCTTTAGTTCTGTTCCTCCCATCTTGTTTCTGGCTTATTAGAGGGCCCTCCTAATTGGTCTCCATGTTGCCATTCATGATACCTTCCCATGCTATAAGACACTGCTAGAGTGCTATTGTTAAAAGGTTTGTCTGAGTCTCTTAGTCCCCTGCTTATTAATGACTGCCCTCTCCCCTCTAAGAATCCTCACTTGATCTCTCTCAACAGTTATGCACTTGTTCTTGTATATACATAATGAGTTGCATTGTGATTATTCACCAGTCTGTGCCTCTGTAGCACCATAAGATCCTAAAGACCAGAACTGTGTTGTCTTTTTTTTGTATCAGTAATACCGGCATAAAACAGATGTTCAGTTATTCCTTAAACGTTACTGATTACTCTGTGACTCTCTTTGGGAGTCTGGCAGACCTGAGTTTTAATTCTGCTTCTGCCATTTATTGGTAGTATAGGACTTTGGGCAATATATAGAAACATGATAAAATTGTTTTCTCATCTATTAATTCGGGAAGATTATTGCCTAATGTACTTTTTTATAGTCTTAATCATTTTTATTAGACTTAATTGATAAATACAAAAGTGTGAAACCCTATATGTTAAGAAAAAAAAAAAAGA